AGCATCTTTCTCTTTGACACCATGTCTGATATCCCACGTGATCTGTCAAATACTAATGCATGAAAATCCTAACCTCAAAAAAATCACCCGATATATCGTCACCTGAAATGCAAAATAACGTAACAACATTTTCGTGGCATGAATGAAACACGAAATAAAATGGAACATGAGTGAAACAAAATTTTAATATTGGTTAAAATTGGTTTATATCTGACAGCAGAACCTGAAAATGTTGAACATATGTAATTTGAAGTAGTGAAGCGTAATCAATAAGACACTCAATTTCGAATTTCTTTACGTTATTTTGCATTTCAGGTGACGAAATGTATATGTATATGTATATTAAAACTAATTAATTACCTAAACCAATTTTTTCTATATAGGATCTAGTTGGAACATCAGAGCTTAAGTCTTTAAGTCTGAACGAAGATTCTGATATAGTAGCTTCTGAAATTAAATCAGTTTTATTGTGGAAATGTAAAGAGAGACCTGCTTATAGCTCAAAGGTAAATATTTATTTGTTTGTTTTGAATATTTTAAATAATACACGAGATTAAGGTTTTTTGCAGATTATAATAATTTTGATTTCTTAATATTTTAATTTTTTCTGACACTCATATTTATTTTATCTTATAAATACCTACATGAAACGCTATTTCGTTTTGCAATACATATACATGTATGGTATATATTAGCAGCCGTAGCATCGGTCAAGAGCTGGGCATGAGCCATCAAACCGTTAAAAAATAAAAAATAAATAAATAAAAAATACCGCAAGACTTTTTTGACAACCTATTATTTATAACTCTTATAAGAATGACCGAACCGATTGAGTTGAAAATTATTTGTTTTAGAACCAAGCGACTGGCGTACGCTACTTTTGATCATTTCATGTTAAAGCTTAGTATCCAGCTCTCAAGAAATGTAAAAAATTCATACAAAATAAACGCATAAGATACGGTCAAGTAACTTTGTTGCGATAAATTTACTTGTGCTAGTATGCAGCTCTAAAGAAATCTAGTACTAATTTTTTATAAATTTTTTCAATAAAATGCGAATATGACAAACCTGGTTTTGCGAAGAAACATCAAATCAACAATTGTTTCTTGAAGGAACTTCAAAGTAATCGTTAAATTTATCCTAAATTAGTTAAATTCATTATTATGAAGTATATTTCATTTTGAAATGTTGTATAAAACTTTCCAATTATCAACAACATTCCCTAAATCGCAATGCAAATATTTATGTTACTACACATATACATGCATACATAATACGCACAAAGTTTATTTTCTTTGTTTGTTCTTTCTTGCTCTTCTATTATGGATCAATCACAATGCGTAACCAGCATTGAAGAAATTATGTATTTTTTTCTTAAGCAATTACTTGAAAGCTGGATACCAACCTTAAAAGTGCAATAAAGATATGATGCCAGTCCCAATCTAAAAAATATAATTGAATTTATAATAAGATATATAACGCGTCTATTGTTAGCGGATAGTGGAGGGTTTGTCCTTAGAGTAATTGGACTAAGTCCATTGAAAAAAAAATTATTGAATCAATCGTTACAAATCTTTAAAAACTTTCAAAGTAGGCTCCTTCTGCAATGCAGCGCAGCCAGCGCGATTTCCACGCATCGGAAGACATTCTCCGTAATAGCCTTGAGAGCCAAAGTGTATGCTGCTTGGATCCCCTCTGTCGTCTCAAAATGTTTGCCTTTCATCGACGTTATTCCTATGTATACTGTGAATACGTTATTCAAAAATTGAGGGTAACGTTCACACACCTTCAAATTGGCACTTCCATTCGCCGCAGTTTTTGATGTCAGTGAGCACTTTTGAGACCATCTTCGCGCACACCTTGCGCTCCGTTACAATTAAAGTAATACTTAGTCGACAGTTTGAGTTCAAAACTTTGCGCACATAAGTGACATTGAGCCAAAAAGGCCTAGTGAAATCGAAACACACCACTTCTTGCTAAAGCAACATTTGGGCAAGCCTGCTTAATCATGTCAAACGTCTCTGTCACAGATTTACCGAATTTCACACAGAATTTAATCGCGTACTACTGCTCTAACGAACGCTGCATTTTCGGCTTGCACCACTCCCACGTCGAGCGAAAATGTTTGTCCTGACTCTCCAGGTGTTCGGAGACAACTAATAAACTGCTCGTTTTTTAAGCTAGGAATACCCTCTATCGAATTCATCGGTGCGCGCACTCTCCGCAGTACAGTCGGTGCAGAAGAAAATTAGTTCTATTACTTTCCGGATAAACCCTCTATTTAACTTTCTCTGCTCCTGAAAAATTAATTATTGAGACAGAGCTTCCCTGTAAAAGATAAATTGATTTTCAGGACCTCCGTACCGTTAATCCCTACTAATTCGAAAGTTTGGCCTAGGAACTTCTTTATAGTTAGAGCCAAATATGTTTACACCAGAGATTAGAGCCGTTTAAATGGGATTGGCAGATCACTTGACATCATCGGAATCCTCGGCATACGAGATAGTTGACCAGTTGCTGGGCCAGTGATAATGGTTGTTACAGTTAAATTGTCCTTCATTTCCTTAATGACCAACCTCGTCCCGTTGCACATGTTTGGAAGGCTTATACTCCATAAAAGCATAATTGGAATTCCAATCACGGTGTCTATCCATTTGTATTTTTTTATTTGCCCGATAATTTTTTGCATAATTAGATTGTTTTTTTTTCGTTGACACTATCATTTCTGCAATTTCTAACTAAAATTTTCTAAAATATTAACAATTTGGCCTAGAGACTCATTCACAAATCCAAAAACTATTACAATTACTGTTTAAATTTGGAGTGGGAGAAATTCCGTCCTTAAGATAAAGCAATTGCTGTGGAAAATTACCATCAGTGATTCCATGAAGATAAGGTCTCACATTCAGCCGTAATTTTATATTTTCATGATATCGGAACTCTCCTACAAATACAAAAGTGATCCCGCCTATGAGAGCAGAGTAGTCTCTAAGGCGTTTAATAGCTGTCCGCGGTTATTATTCACGTTATCTACTATAATTTCAAAAGAATATCTTTGATCTGGAAATAACTTTGGCAGATTTTCATTGACAAAAACGGTCAAAGTATTTTTATTACAGTTTTTGTAGCTCTGTTTTCTGTACGAACTGAAGGACGTAGTCCAAAATCGCTTAAGTTTTTATCGTTTAGTTGTAATAAATTATTTTCTATATGTATCAAATCAGCGTCGTAAATATCTTCACTATATGGTAAGGTGCAGTTTTCATTTTTTTGCTGTAGTCTATATATGTATAATACTTGCCACAAATCGTCTTTGAAATTTTCCCATAATTTTAATGGTTCCGAAAGTAGACAAAATAAAAGTATGAAGACAAACAACTCTCTCAGTTTTACTTTCTTCTTTTAAATTTATTAATAGCCCATATGTGGTATTGGGGGGAATTCGTAATGTAAAAGTGGCTTTGCAAATTCATCTTCACTACAGAGCTCAATGAAAGCTCGCAAAGTGGTTTTATGTAGGTGTTGCCACTTGTTCAGCCGTTTCTGTGGTGAAATACACCCTTTGGACGGTTTTTAAACGTACAGATAACTGCTGGACTGTAGGATCAGCAGATATTTCGTCTTGTCCATTCTGGATAACTTAGTACCAACTGCGCAGGTGTTGAGGTCAATAATATTAATATCATCGGCGTACGCTGTAGCTGTACTACCTTATAAAAGACGGCAAAATCTGTATTTAGTTCAACAGCTGGAGTCTTGAGCTGAAAAAATCGCACGGAAGGGGGTTTGGTATCGAACGGCTCGAAGAGGTTCTCCCCAATCCTGAAGGAGCTTTTGGTATTGCTCAACGTCAGCTTAAACACCCGTATTAGCTTTCCGGAGATATCGAACTCAGAAATTTCAAGTTAGTGAATATGACAATATAACGTCTGCTCCCTCTTCAACTCTCGATGCCTATGCCATCCCACACGTTTTGTGATCGATTGTAACGTTTCGAAGTACAGTGAGCGCATTTCGTTTAGCCGAATGGCTAGTTCTTCGTATTATTTAACGTTATTCTGAAAATTGCTACGGTACTTTGCGCTTTCTGCGAATATTTTGCATTTTTCTTTCGTAACCATTTATTTTTTCAATGTTATTAGTCTACATATGTATATCATTCTTGAAAACTTTTTAGTGGAAAGAGGTAATCAGTGTCAATTTCAGTGCGCATTTCGTTTAGCCGAAAAGGTGGTAAAAGTCATTTTACAAAGAAATAAAGAGCTAATTTGTATTTTTTTAGAAAAAATATTACAACTGACACTGCATAGATTTATATAGATTTATTGGGTTCATTTAAGTTACTACGTTTTTTTTATACCATTTAAAGCCATGCCGAAAGGACCCTACTTGTCAAGTGAAGAGAAAGCCGTTATAACGGCACATAAAGAAAACGGCATGAGTAATGTTCAGATTGCTTTAAAAATTCAGAGATCCGAGAAAGTTATTAGAAATTACTTAAGATTGGGCAAGAATTATAGTCAGAAGAAAAAGACCAAAGGTAACAAAAAAATTACAGAGCGGCGAAAAGGTCAAATGAAGGACCTCGCAACAAAACAAAAGCTTACCGCTTCACAAATTGTCGTGTCCAGAAAAAGAAAAAAAAAAATAACGCAGCTATCCACGTCTCGCGACATTCTGTTCACTGGTTTGTAGACAAAAATATAGAATTGATGAAATAGACTGCACGCAGTCCAGACCTAAATCCCATCGAGAACCTTTGGGGTATTCTGGCAAGAGACGTTTATACAAATGGTCGCAAATTTAGGAGTGTTTTAGAACTGAAAAGGGCAATTAAGGACAGCTGGAAAAAAATACAAGAAGATATCTTAACATATATCCCACACTTTTTGTGATCGATTGTAACATTGCGAAGTATGTAGGTAATCCGTCCCACAGTTTCCTTATACCGAGTTGATGACGTGTGCTCTCAGAGGGCAGGAGTGCAAGTCGAATAGAAAATCGTTCGTCTGTTGTAATAGCAGCTTCTCGACGTCGAATCTCCTTGTGTCTGTTGACTTAGGCTGTTTTCTGTACAGAGAGTAAGATAGTGCTCCGAGTTAAGGTAAGGAACGACGTGTCTTCCGTTTATTACAACTTTTTCGATTTTTCGCGCCCCAGCAAAGTCGATCAGCCTCAAATCTTTTGAGAATGTTTCCTCAGGGGGGTGGGATTTCCCGACAGTTGTGCCAAAAATATCTTCTTTGCCCACCCAAGCACGATTTCAACACCGTGGCGGGGCAGCTCTCATAGGTACACTCCGAGCGCATATAGAATGCATCTTTGATCATATTGTAAACAACAGCACGTCAGTCGTTTCTCATTAGTATTGTTATATTTTAAAATGTTTGATTATTTTGTTATTTGTGTAAATGTGTTTTAATATACATATGAAGATAATTGTATTTTAATATCTTATAAATAAAAATGAATCGCAAATATATTGCTAAGCGCATAACTCAACAAC